CGCCAGCTGCTCCCGCGCGTCCTCCGCAGGCGCCCCGGACCGCTGGGCGCGTGGCGTCACCTGGCTGTAGATCGGCGCCTCCTCCCGGCTGCGTGGCGGTGGTGCTTCGGCTCCGGCGCCTTGGGGGGGCCCGCGCTTCTGCACCACTGCATACGTGTCAGACATGGCGTGGGACGGATCCTGGGGCACCGACGGATCCCGGGGCACCGAGATGCTCCTGCGGGCAGGGACAGCGTGGAGGAAGTGAAAGGGCAGCACTCAGAGCTGGTGGGTACGTCCCGTGCTCGGCACGCAAACCACTGCTTCCTTCCCGCAGGAGGGCGCGCCGGAACGGAGCGAGGAGGCGGGCTGGGGGGCAGGCGGAGGAGGGGGCTCTGGGTAGGGGGAAGGTGTCTGGTTTGCGTGTCCCTAGCGCTCAGTACGTTCGTTGGAGATGAAGCACAGGACGGGCCTGGCAGGTAAATGGGACCCGCTACTGGTAATGCGGGGGGATCGTTTCTGTGTCAACGTTTATTAAATAACAGAATGAGGAAGTGGCATCTAAGGGGAGAAGGAGATGGTCTCACAGTGGAGGGCTAGCCTCAAAGACTAAAAGCCTACGTCTGTGCGCGCAGTACCCAACATGAGGCTTGGTAAGTGGGTGGCATCAAGCAATAATTGCCGAATCGATTATTGACTGGAGGAGCAAGGAAAGGGTTAACCTTGGAAAGCAGGGCTAGCCTTCGAGGCAGAAGCAGGGGGGCCACTGGGATAAAGGAGTCAGCTTGGGGAGGGTTCCAATAGCTCAATTCAAGACAGGGTCAACAAATACTTGGGGCGTTGAACGGCAAGGGTTTGGTGAAGAAAACCGGCGAGGAAAGGGTTAGGCTGGGGCAGACGCATGGGAAAGACCTACGGCATTGAAGGGAAGAGCCAGTACCTGAAGACCCCGCCTACTGGGCGGGGTACGGTGAGAAAGGCTGGGGGAGTCCGGAGAGAGAGGGCATCGTCGTAGACTGGGTGATTGTTCTAGGGGAACAGGAGGGGAGGATCAGATGTGGGAGGAAACTTGCCAAGCCCCTACTGGGTTCACCTTGGTCTCTGGGGGTCAGAGGATTGGGAAAAGGTAAGTGTCACTAAGTCCAGGGCAAGGTGCTATGATGGTGGTGGCTGACGGTAACTGGTGGACAGAAGAGTGGATAGGGGCCTCCCTACCTCCTTGAGGTTCTGGTAGTGGGGGCTCGTGTTCTGGAGCACGGCGCTGAACATTTGAGCCACTGTGTGGTACAGGAACCTGTACTGCTCCTGTGAGGAGGAAGGGTCATCCAGGAGGGGATCTCAGGAGGAAAGGGGGGGCCCAATGTCCTCGGGAAAGAGGAGATTAAGCTCGCACCTCAGTCTGCACGGCTGCAGGCCGCTGCTTCCGTATCTCCAGGACAACATCGAAAAGGCTGAAGTTAGGTGGTATCCGCTGGGGCAGAGATGGCATGTAAGCTGGACTGTGAGGATGTGGGCTCCCCATCGTGCAGCCACAACACCCTGACTGGTACCTGAGTCAGAAGCAGCTGCCGCACATAATCCACGGTGCACAGGACACCTGTTCGCCCACAGCCCGCACTGAAAAGTGAGAGGGTGAGCTCAGTCAGGTCTGCCTGCAACCTCTTTTAAATGGGATATTTGGTGCTGGGGATGAGGGCCTCCTCCATTAGGAGGATCCCTGCAGAAGCTCTTGATTCCCAGGATCCCTAGGTTAGAACTTAAATGGAAAACCTTTTGAATTTCTCACATTTGTTGAGCATCAGCTTATTACTACCCAGCAAGCAGTCTATGCGCAACAAATGCTAACAATTCTAGTCCGTGCAGCCTGAGCAAATGTGGCCCCAGGGTTTTCAAGATAGGACTGGCTGCAAGACTGGCTGCAAGCCCTGCACTCCCCGCACTTCCTCTCACCCACCCACTCTGGTCACGAGACCCTCATAAAACCCATTCATTTTCTAGACCTGCAGTGGATACAGAGGGGACCCGGGCTGGAGCCCTGGAGGCACCGAGCCTTCTCCACCATGGCAAGCATATGGTCAGGATTGCTGGGGACCCCACGGTCCGGCCAGGACATATACTGTAGCTGGTACACAGAACGAGATTCCTGAAACACAGAAGAGTGGACAATAAAAAGGAAAGCATTTACTGAGTACCCAGTACATGCCAGGCCCAGTTCTAAGCATCTTCCATTTAAATCCAGTGCGTAGTAACTAAGGAGGTGGGTACTATTGGATACAGAGGAGGGAACAGTCAGGAAACAGCTTTTCCATGGCAGAGCCCTGTCACCACCTCCTCCCCTTTCAGTACCTTCTGAAATGTGACCTGGAGGGTCCTGAGCATGATGTCTGACTTCAGCCATGTCTCCTGTGTCTGAGAATATGGACACATGGGAAGAGAGAGGGAAATAAAGATTATGTGTATCAAATGATATTATAGAGGGACCAGCAGATGGTGCAATGGTTATATCGCTAGACTCCCACGTGGCCAACTGCAGTTCAAGTCCCAGAGCCAGAGGCTTAAAACTCACACCAGGCATGTGTAGGTACATGCTCGAAATCCTGAGAGAACAATGGAGAAGAAAGGATTGTGGTGTGGCCATACCCCATGGGGGGAGGGTGACTTTTCGCTGTCTCTCTATCTCTCTAGCGAGCACATACACTCTATAGCAAAAATCTCCCTTTAAAAAAAAAAAAAGATACTATAGGAAGCAATGCATTTCTGGTTTAAAATCAAGTACCAAAAAAATATATTTTTCAAAATTTAAGTCCAGCCAGGTGGTGGCATGGTTAAGGCAGCTAGATCCCACATGGCCAACCGTGCAGTTCAAGTCGTGGATCCAGTGGTTTAAAAAACAATGCCAGGCATGTGTGCGTGCCCAAAATCCTAAGAGAATTGAGAAGGGATTACAACGTGGCCATCCCTGCCCCCCACCAGAGGCTGATTTCTCGCTTTTTATCTCTCAGTCTCTGTCTCTCTGGTGAGCACATGTGCCCTATAGCAAAAATCTCTTATAAAAAAAAAAATTCATGTAGCCGAAACATCCTCCTAGGTTCTCATGAAGGAAATATCTGTGAGGGGCGGGACTATAGAAAAACCCAAACAAGTATTTATAGTAGAAATAAGACATTTCATTTGTTCTAAAACAAAACAGTTGTGTTGTATTTATTAAGTACTGTTTGAGGGCCAGCAGGTGATATGGTGGTTAAGGCACTAGACTCCCACATGGCCAACAGTGATTCAAGTCTCAGACCCAGTGGCTTGAAAATCACACTGGGCACATGCGTGTGCCTGCCAAAAATCTTACGAGGAGAATGAAGAAGGGGCTATAGGGTGGCAGTCCCTGTGGGAGATGATGACTTCACACTTTCCCTCTCTCTCTCTCTCTCTGGCAAGTGCATGCACCCTATGGCAAAAAAAAAATATATATATATAATAATAATGGTAAGAGAAATTAAAATTTCAAGAACCTAAGCAAGGCACATTTACATGATAAAGGTCATTGCATCAGACCAAAATGTTTTAAAAATGCAAAAGCAGAGCATATATTTTGTTCTATTTACATGCCAGCCCGAGAGAGTCCCCTGCAGTGTGAGAGGTCTGTGGGAAAACAATTCATCCTTTCAAGTCCAGCCCAAAGGTTCTACCATGGGAATCTGCCTTGAAACCTCTCACAATATCTGAGGCCCGCAGAACCCTGTTCTCACTGTTGTCCCTACTTACCAGAATGATGCAGAAATATCCAATCTGTAGTGATTCCTGCTCTTCAGCCCAGTAACGCTCACACTTTTTCTACAAAATGTAAGAGACAAGGAGAGTTGGGAAGGAAGTCAGTTTCAGAGTTGCAGCTCACTATGTCTCTGCCCCGGATGCACAGGTGGCTGCAGCTCTGATGGAGGCCAGCCAGCAGAGCCATCAGATGAGACCATTTCTTGTTTCAAAGATGAAAAGGGGCAAGCTGCTGACTGTGCAGGTAGACAATAATCCATGATCCCCTCCCACTATAAGATGAAAACGCTAGACAAAATGAGCCACAAGTTTCAAATATTGCAGGATGGTGATCACTGAACAGACCACCCTGGCTTACTCTCTGGAGGCATCAACGCACTGCAAAACATGAATCCAATAATCCCCCGAATGGAAGAGCCAGAGATTATGGCTCAAGACAGCTAGAATTTTCAGGGCAGAGTCCCAGAAAGAACAGAGCTATGCAAACAAACAAAATCCCCAGACATCTGCATCCCATCCCCCTTCTTGAGTCTTTGGCTGAATAATAACCTGCTCAGCATAAAACCTGATGAGAGCAGGCAAGAATGACTTCCCATGAAAGAATAATAGGGTTCTATAGGATGAACATTTCTATAGGATGAATGATGAGACAGAAATGATTCATGTCCCCTTGATTCAGAGTGGAGAGGCTTCATCGACTATAAGGGACATTCAATAGGAAACCCAAAGGATGACACATTAGAAGTAGGGCTAAATTAGTTCTATGATAGAGGCTACTCTAGACCTTCCCTAAAAGAGCTTAAAAAAAAAACAAAACAACCAAAAAAAAAAACTCAAAATAAACATCCAAAAGTAACTGAATTGCCTTCCTGAAAAAGTAAAACAGTATTTAAGTGAAGACAACAGAATCCAACACTTACTTATGTAAAATTAAAATGGTCAAGCATCCGCTAAAAATTTACTAGACATATAAAGAGGCAGAGAAATTTTCTCCTTATATGGAAGGAAGTCAGTCAATAGAAGAAAGGCTCAGAAATCAGAGATGAGAAAAGAAGAAAGACTGCAAAATAGCTGGTAAAAATATAAATGTCAAAGTGAGAAGGAAAACATGAACATGATGAAGAGTGAAATAAAAGATACAGAAAAGGCCTAAGTAGGACTCGAGAAAAAAACTATTTAACAGACACTAGATCAATGAACATGAAAAATAAAGCAATAGAAACTACTCAAAATGAAAAAGAAGAAAAATTTAACGGAGAATCAGTTCTCAGTAAATACACCAAATGGTCTAATACATGTATACCCGAGTCCAGAAAGAAAAAGGAGAAAAAAGAAACAATGGATACTCAGCAATTTACAATGAGGAATATTCTGGTAAAGCCACTGTAAGCCAAAAATATAAGTCAATATGAATTTAATACACCTATCCTACTAAATATAATAACTCAGATTAGCCTACCTTGGACATATTCAGAACACAAGCTTTGCCTACATTTAACACAAGGCCTATGAAATACTAAAGTGTTGAATCTTTCAAGTAACTTATTAAAAACATTGAAAGTGAAAACATTGTATGGTACTTGAAACGTGCTTTCTTCTGAATACTTATTGCTTTTATACCATTATAACGTCAAAAAAATCATAAGTCAAACCATCATAAGCAAGAGACTATATAGAAACAGTAGCTAAAAAGTTTCCCAAATTTGATAAACTGTGATCCCACAGATCCAAGAAAGTCAATGAACCACAGGAAAAATAACAGAAAACCACATCAAGGCAGATCATGAACAAATTGTTGGAAAACAATGACATAGAAAAAAATCTTAGGTCCAGTTATGTTGGTGTGGGCTGCTAAGAAATTGAGCTCTGCAGGCTAGAACCCCAGAGAAGGTCTGGGTTTGATTCCCAGTCCACCCAAAATATCAGGTGGGATGGTGTATGTGTGTAATCCCAGCCACTTGGAAGGCTGAAGCAAGACCATGAACTTGAGGCTGGTTTTGGCAACATGGTGAGACCATGTCTTTCAAAAATAGAAAAATCCTTAAAAAGCAACATACAAAAGCATACTGGTCACATACTGAGGATCAAAGATTAAAATTGCAGGCCCAACAAGTGGCATTGTAGTTAAGGTGCTGGACTCCCACATGGCTGATCACGGTTTGAGTCCCAGACCTGGCAGCTTGAAAATCTCTCCAGGCCTTGTGTACATTCATGCTCAGAAATCCCAGTGGTGGGGATGGGACTGTGGCATGGCCATCCACCCAGGGATGATTTCTCACTTTCACTGTCTCTCTGGTGAGCATACTTGCTTTGTGGCAAAAACATAAAAATAAATAAATAAATAAATAAGAATTACACATACACACACAAAAAAAAGACAACAGATTTTTTCAGAAACTCTTAAAAGATAGAGTCAAGGACATGATTGTCTTAGGTTGTTACTGTGTTGCTGTGCACAAGTGCCTGAGGTGGGTGATTTATAAATAGAGGTGTGATTTGGGTAGCTGGATTCCAACATGGCCAACTATGTTGTTCAAGTCCTGGACCCAGTAGCTTCATGTGTACATACATGCCCAAAATCCCAAAAGAGAGAAAGGATTGAGGCGTGACCATTCCCCATGGGCAGTTCTTTCTTACTCTTCTTTTTGTCCCTCCCCACCAAGTATACACACCTTCTGAAAAAAGAAAAAAAAAAAAAAAAAGAATGACTATTTATTTATTCTGGCAGCTGAAAAACCCAAAGATGGGGGCCAGCAGGTGGCATAGTGATTAAGGCACTGGACTCTCACATGGCTTACTACAGTTCAAGTCCCAGACCTGGCCCTTTGAAACTCACACAAGGCATGTGTGCCCAAAATCCCAAGAGGAGAAGGGACTTGGCATGGCCATGGCCATCCCCCCAGGGGATGATTTCTCACTTTCTGCCTTTCTGTCTCTCCATCAAGCTTATGCACCCTATAACAAAAATCTCTCTCAAAAAAAAAAAAAAAAGGCAAAAGATCTGAATAAATATTTATCCACAGAAGATATACAGATGGCCAAATAAACATATAAAAGCCCAAATCACAATGAGATACCACTTCTCACTCATTGGGGTGGGAGATACGCGTGCACACACACACACACACACACACACACACACACATATTATAGCTACACATCCAAAATGTACATATGATATTGATTGATTGATATGTAGAGAAACTTGAACTATTGTGTATGCTGGTGAGAATGTAATTCTGTAACCACTGTGAAAAACAAAAATTAAACATAGAATTGCCATGTGATCCAGCAATTTTAATCTAGGTACATCCCAAAGAATCAAAAACTGGGGCTCACCAATGTTCACAGCAGCTTCATTCATAGTAGTCAAAAAGTAGAAGCAAACATAAATGTTCACTAAGATGAATCAGTAAACAAAATGTAACATAAACATACAATAGAATGTTACTCAGCCTTAAAAAGAAATGAAATTCTGGGGGCCAGCAGATGGCATAGTTGTTAAGATGCTGGTCTCTCACATGGCCAACTGCGGTTCAAATCCCTGACCCAGCAGCTTAAAACTCACACTAGGCACATGTGCGTGTATACCCAAAATCCCAGGGAGGGACTGGTGGAAAAGGGATTGCAGCATGGCCATACCCTCTAGGGGGTGGCTTCTCACTTTCTCTCTACCTCTTACTGTCTCTCCAGTGAGTGCACATGCCTATAGCAAAAATCTCTCCTCCCAAAAAAGAATTATTATTTATTTTAAAAAGGAAAAAGAGGGGCCAGCAGATGGCGTAATGGTTATGTTGCCGGATTCCCTTATAGTTGACCACAGTTCAGGTCCCAGACCTGGCAGCTTAAAACTCATGCCAGGCATGTGTGTGCCAAGAAATGAAAATGTCTGACTTCCCACAGGCTGTATGTGAGAGTCACAGCAACATTTTCCTAACAGCCAAAAAGGGGGAGTTCACGTTACGTAAACTGATGAATGGAGAAATAAAATGTAGATACATTCAATGAGATACAATTCTGCAATAAAAAGAAGTGACGTATCAAGAGTAATAATGCTACAATAAGCATGAACCTTAAAAACATGCTAAGTGAAAGAAGTCAGTCACAAAAGACCACATTGCCATATGAACCTATTTATATGCAAGGCCCAGAGTAGGCAACTCTGAAGACACCAAAAGTAGATGAGGGCTTGCCTAGGACTGGAGAGGTTGGTGGGAAATGGAAAAGTGACTGCTAATGGGCACAGGGTTTCTTATGGGATGATGAAAACACTCCGAAATTTATTGTGGCGATGGCTACGTAACTCAGGAATATCCTAAAAACAACTGAAGTGCAAACTTCAAATTATATCTCAATAAAGCTGTTTATAAAAGGTCATCTGAGGCAAAATTAATAATAGCAAGATACTGGAAAGTGTATGTCATATAGAGAATTAAGCTGTATAGCGACACTGACTAGCAGTGGACTCTCACGGGGCCATCCATGGTTTTAGTGCCAGACTTGGTGGCCTGAAAATCACACCAGGTTCACCATGTGCATGCATTCCCAAAATCCCAGGAGGAATAGAGGAGAAGGGACTGCAGCATGGCCATCTCTCTGTGGGGTGATTTTTCACTTTTCTTTCCCAGTCTCTCTGTCTCTCCCTGGCAAGCACATGCACCATGGCAAACAAAACAAAAGATGCATAGCAACAATAGCACAAAGCAAGGAAGTTTAAATATACTATTAGAAACTGTACATTTTACATAAAATATATGCTATTTGAATACAAACTATAATAAGATAAAGATACATATAGTAAACCCTAAGTCCATTACTTAGCATATGAAACAAAAAGGTAAAACTAGTGAGGGAATAATAACTATGAAACAGAGTCATAAAAAATCTGAATCTGAAAGAAGACAGAAGGGTCAGCCAGTGGCATGGTGGTTAGGCAGCTAGATCCCACATGGTTCACTATGTGGTTTGATTCCCAGACCTAGCAGTTTGAAAACCATGCTGGCACATGTACATGCACGCCCAGGATCCTGAGACGAGAATGGAGGAGAGGGGACTGCAGCATGGCCATCCGCTCTGGGGGGTGGTTTCTCACTTTCCCTCTCTTTTTTTCTTTCTCTCTCTTTGTCGCTCTGTCTCTCTGGTAACATATAGCAAATTTAAAAAGAAGGAAAAAAGAGAGAAAAGAAGGTAAAAGGGATAAAAAAGATAAAACAAACAGCAAGATGATAGATTTAAACCCAACATTATTATTTTTCTTTCTGTAGAGTATATGTGCTCACTGGAGAAAGACAAAGAGAGGGACAGTGAGAAATCACCCCACAGGGGCAATATTCATGCTGCAATCCCCTTTTCTACAAAGTGTTAGATAATAAATATTTTAGATACAATCCGCTCAACTTGAAACTACTCAACTCTGCCACTGTGGCATGAAAGAAGGCATGAGACCAGCAGATTGGCATAATGGTTATATCACTGGCCACCCATGTAGTTGACCATGGTTCAAGTCCTGGGCCCAGCGGCTTAAAACTCACGCCTGGCACATGTGTGTGCATGCCCAAGATCCCAAGAGAAGAACAGAGAAGAGATTAAAGCATGGCCATCCCCCCTGGGGAGTGATTTCTCACTGTCTCTGTCTCTCTCTGTCTCTCCAGCAAGCACACAAGCCCTATAGCAAAAATCTCCCTTTAAAAAAAAGGCAGATATTATAAGTAAATAAATGAGTGTGGTGGTATTCCAATACATTCTATCTATGAAAACAGGTAGCAGGACAGATTTAGTATAACAGCTCTAATTTGCCCACCTGTACTTGGGCAGACGGGGGCGGTAGAGAGAGAGAATACAATTACTGACATAAGGAATGAAAAAAAGACAGCACTACAGATCATGAAGACTCTGCCACCTAGTCACTCAAGGCAGTTTTACTCCCAGTCCCCAACCCATCCACAGACCAGGCAAGAATGCAGAATCACAGCACATATGCCTTTAATACTGACATGCATTTATTGAGTAACGATTTATGTTAACAGGCAAAACAAAGATTCCCTGATCTTGGAAAGTCGACTTTCTAATCGCTGTTCTAATACAATGTACATGTAAATTTGTAAATCATCTAGTGTGTTAAAAGTTGGTAGGAAGTGTGAACAAAAAATAAAAAGGAAAAGAAGGACAAGAGAAAGGGAGTGAGGGTGCTCGGAATTTTAAATGGTGTGAAGATCCAGGAAGGCTTCACTGAGGAAGTAAAATTCGAGCAAAAACCTGAAGGAAGTAATGGAGCAGGCCATGGGGAAGACTGTCCAGGCAGAGGAAGGAGCCAAGGCTCAAGCCTCAAGACAGAGCCATCCCTGGCACATGTGAATAGCAGAGGCCAGTAAGGTGGAGTGAATAAAGGGGAAAAAGGCGGGAAGAAAGATCAACACCGCAGGGAAGCTGGTCAGCACAGGGCCTACGGTCTGTGGTGTGGGATGGGTGGGAAGCCCAGAAGAAGAGTTGCCAACAGGGGGATGAGCCCTATGAATAAAAGGAAAAACACTGACATAAAATAAGAGAGGAAACCCCACAGACCAAAGTGGCCTTTTGGGTCCTGGGGTTAGGGAAGAGCTAGCAAGATTCCTCCTCTCCTTTCTGCACAGGGAAATGCATTCAGGGGGGCTGAGGACACCTACCCGGCCATTCTCTGTCTCTCGACAGGCCATCATGATCACCTAGACAAGAGGAGGAAGAAGAAAGAGAGGTGATTTGGGTCAGGAGGCCAGGGAA